AGGAAGAAAATTAACTCTATCCTAGCCGAAACCAGGACAACGCTGTAGTTACATCTTTGTTCTCAGTACTGGAAAAAAATCCATGCTGCTGATTTTTTTCAAGAAATTTGTAAGTGGTGTGTGTGAATATATGTATTGTATATTATATATGCACATGTGTTTTACTTGCAAAGGAAGAGTATAGGCCTTTATTCTTCTTTCTTCATTGATTTGTAGCATTTCCTAGTCAGCACAGTGCATGCTTTTGTGTCATCTGCAGAACATGTAGAGTCCTGGTGGAATTTTTTTATCTCCTTTGTAGGCAAAATGTGTCCCTTTCCATCTTGAAAAGTGTCTTGGATCATATCTTAAGAACTCAGTGCTACTTGTATCTTATTTTGTGGCACCAGGTTTTAACTTAATCCTTCTTCCCCCTCAGCTTACGTTTTTCATAACAAAACATTGCTTGCTTTAATGGGAGGACTTGAAATGGGGCGGAAAATCTCAACTGACAGTTTTTTGCTTTGAAACTCTTCCTAGGTTTGTACTGCTTGGCCCACCACAGGCTTTCCAGGTGGGAAAGTTGGGCTGAGTGAAACCACCCAGAAGAACCTGAAAGTAAATCCAGGTGATGCCGTCACTGTGCAGCCTGTGACTGGTGCAGTCATCCAGGCAGAGGAAGTCGATGTAAAGTTGAGGTATGCAACCTGTTACAACCTAGTGACGTACCGGGAGGTGTCTGCTTTGCACCGCAGGCTCTTACCCTGTAGAAGATGCTATGTTTCTCTCTTGCTTTGATGGAATTAGTACCCAAAGTCAAACATTTGCAGATGTTTGTTAGGATTAAGACTAACGTTGAGTAACTGGTGGCTAACTGCTACCTCCTCTGTGGGCAGTGGAGTGGCTCAGCTGTTTTATGAAATCTCAACCAAGGAGTGGTGCTGGTGTGGAGAATGTAATGACACTAAGCTCATTAGTCTTAAGAGATTCTTCATTTTACTATTCATTAATTTAACGTAATGACAGCCCAACACCTCCTGAAGCAGGGGTCAAGCTGCTTGTGTTGCATTTGCATTAGGCAAGGGTATATAACTGCACGATCAAGGCAAGTTCTTTAAACTTGTAAGTCGCTTGTAAAGGATGAGGGTGATCTCTGCACATAGAGTTGATGTCAGGTTCGAAGGAGCCCGCATTGCTGCTGTTGTCCTTAGCAAGTACACTGCAAACTGCTATCTGAGAAGCCCTTGCTGAAAAGTCGTGTTGCCGTTAAGAGAATTACTGGCTGACAGGTTGGGGAGAGTTAAGTGATTTTTTTTTTTTTTTTTTTTTTTTTTTTTA